ACACTGTGTGCTTTGTAAGCCAAGATTTTATATTTCCCCATACTCCGACCTACTGGCACTTCTTCCTGCTTCAGTTCTCTAGATCGTCTCAAAGCCTGCTGTTGAGCGGATCTCAGCATAAACCGTGATCCTGATCGTGTACGACGGCTTGAACCCTAGCAATCTATAGGTTGGTTACATCTGCTACGTGAATAGAAACACCAGTAAGTGAGCTTTGCCTCCAGTAAACATGCTGCAAAGGGGACTTGCTTTCTTATATCTGTGGGATATGAAGCGAGAATCTTCTCCTACTGGAGGATGGAATCTTTGAGAACTTTCCCATCCCCACGTCCGTCATGCTTTCCTGGTCAGCATAGGCTCATCAACAACTTCGAAATAATATAATCGGCTGACAAATTATTCCTTTCTACCAGTTGCGGGCTTACTGCTTTAATATTAGCTTTCAAGCTGTCCTCCGCTGTTCCAGCAGGCGACGTTGCACCGTGTGCATTCATACCAGACCAGTTTTCTCGAGGCCTCTGCAAAAGAAACAAAGGTTGTTGAGTTACCAAATAAGTTCATGGAATCCGGACAACTATGTTAGGAGACATGAGATCTCACTGCATTCATAGCTGATGGATGAGTGGGGAACAGCTGCGTCGAACCATTTAACGCTACCGATCTAAATACTTTAGCGAAGGTCTACTTAGGAGGACGCTTAACTCCACATTCCAGTGTCTCCTGATTAGACTACTCTTGAATTTCCCTCTAGAAGCGCTCCCTCCTTGCACTGCCGGAGCGCCTGATTGTCCCCACGCGAGTAAAGAGGGACAGCTAGGGGGCGCGTTGGTGCACCCCGTATTCACTCCGAGCATTCACAGCCAGCTGCACATTGCATCTAGCGAACATGTAAAAATCAGGGTTTCCTGTACCTGGCCAGCAGCAATCTGCACTAAAAATAATACAGAAACCAGCAAGCTAATTGGTCAATTTTTGCTCTACTGTATAAAAATATGTAGATGATAGGGCATAAAGTGTTTGCATGCAGCTATACCCACCATACCAGCTTTGCCTGCTCTACGGAGCCTTGAAGATTGTGCAAGAAGTGTGGAGAGACAGCCAACTCGCAGTCTGGCCAGCCCTAACTAGCCTTTATCAACCTGTAGCTTGTGTGCTTGTGCGCCGATTGTGCTGATCTTCGAAGTGCTTGAGCACTGCGACGCTGCTATATTCACGATGTGGCTACTCTAATATTGGCACAAGCCACGGGGCCCTTAACTCCGTATTGTGAGATATTACACACTTTGAACAAAGTTTCAAGCTGAAAGGAACAGGCCTCTTACTGGAACTTGCAGAAAGGGAAGCAAACGAGGTGGTACCTCCCGAAGCGGCAACACCCCACGAAAACCGTCCTTTCGGATTGCATCGTGGAACAAAGTGTGTACGATGTGGTCTGCACCCCAGACATGAAAAAAAATAATTTGAATGATAGTCGATACAAGTGCCTTGTTTACGGGTGCCATATTGATTATGTCGAATCTTAGTGAAGCGCTACTGGTAGCTATGTTTCGCACGTCGCAGCCTCCCTCTAGGAGGTATTCCCGTACACTGATTGCCTTCGCAGCAACTCAATCAAATCGCGTGCCTAATGTTCATTCTTCGCTATCAACTCTGTAACGCAAAAGCTTAGCTGTTTTCATCTGACTGAACCCTCTTTCTACTGCTTGCCATGCAACCCCTCCTTGTGCGGTGTGGCGCTGTTGCTGCCTTGTTGGCGGTTCAGCTTGGCGTTTCTTATTCTGTAGCCAGTGAAGAAAAACATGCATCTGACTCAGGTCAGCAGGGAAATGTTGGCTTTCCTAGTCTGTTCGATGGCAGTGCGTTCGCCGGCATTCGAGAGTCGATAGAGCAGTCAGTATCGTCATTCTTGAACATGATGGGTCCTATGGAGACCATGCTGCAAGAAGGCCCGCTGCTTTCATTAGCCGTTCAGGATGGAAACGAGGAAAGGTAGGGTTGTAGAGGCATCTGTTAGCTCAGCCATTTTGGTGCACCCTGTGTTTTTTAGATGCACCACAATTTGTGGACGGTGCTTTTCGCAGCTGTTATATGAAAGTGACTGTGGGCAAGTCAGGGCCGAGTATGAAAGACGTCAAGATTGGCTTGAACCCCACTTCTCGCGCCGTTACTATTTTGTACGATCAGCAGCAGGACCAAAGGACCCATGATCCAGAAAAGGGTGACAGGTGAGGTCCAAGCACATATTTTTAACAACATATGTTACAGGGAGTTCTGGTTTTGGGGATATTGAAGGACTCGGCAACGTGCTTTTTCTGGAAAAGTAGCTGATTGGTTGGACTTGCTCCCTTTGCGTCTCATGTATTTGCAGTGTGTCTTCTCGTGCAGTCCACGTTACGAGCTCATTAAGCCTTCCATCGAGATGCATGGCATCAGCTTCTGTCCTTCTACTAGGCCTTGCTGGCTACATGGTCGATAGCTCCGGTTCCCGGGGGCGGATTATTTTTCCTTCCTCAAAGCTTCTGAACAAGTATGCCGAGGAGGGGTTGCTGCCAAAGGACATCATTGGAACAATTGAAAATGGAGATCAGGCAGCGCTATCAGCCCTTCCACCTGAGCAGCAGTGCCTTGCCGCAGGGTTTACAACTGAGGACTGCGCCAAGCTGAACAGCAAGCCAGTTGTTGCATCAGTAGCAGCAGCTGGGCTTGGTCTTCTCCCGATCCCGCTCTACGTCTCTCCCCTCGAGTTGCTTGAGTGAACTTTGCTCGTTGAGCGCTCTCATTTGTGTTCTTACAACAGTCGCATGACTAAGTGCGTCGCACAAGGTTTCGATATTTCATCGGCCAACCTTCCCTGTAGCGCAACTGACGTAGTGCCAGTTGCATGGGGATTTACAATTAATTTACGGCGTTCCTGCAAAGCAGTGAGCCGTGCGTGAGGTTTAGAGCTGCTTCTTCATATTAGAGCGACGCGATCTCGAATAAGGCGTATGTCTGCTTTTAAGTTTATTTCAGTCTGTCTGTACCCAAGACTGCTGCCCTCAAGACTTTTGTAGTTGTGCTCCATGGATACATGGGCTGGAGCGCAGCAACTGCAGCTCATTTGAGTTGCCCCCAAACATGTTTTTAAAAGCAAGGCTGCTTGCGGCTCTATACCATCCACAACAACTGGACTGCTCAAATTGTTCTGTGTGCACCATCAGGCAGTGGTCGTAGGCCTGCAAGGACAGTTTACACTAGTGCTGTAAGCCCAGTTGTTCGGTTTCGTGCGGCAGGACGTTTTCACTGCTGAAGGGCGCACCGTTGCACAGGGGTCGGTAGTTACCGAAACCCTCAAAGCCGCAATACACCACGCGGGTCACAGACGGGCCACGTGCTGCGGGTGGGGCGTCAAGCACAAACCTGTTGCCAATCATAGATGGTCCTTGGAAAGGGGGATTCTGTGACACCGCGAATTCGGTCCCAGTACTGCTGCTCTCTACAGGTCGCGTTGCTGTACCCAGCACCCCTTAATTTACTAGAGCCCTAGGAGCTGCCGAGTTATCGTACTCGAGTTTTCCTGAGCACTGATACAGCTATTCCCAACAAAATTGACTCGTAGCCGTTTTGACTAACCGGTGCATGATGGCAGAGAAGTGCCAGGCTGCATACGAAACCTGAAGTCTTGCTTCTTGGTTATACGGCCTCCACCACTGAAGTGAGGTGAGTGCCAACGTATCGGGTGGCCCTCCACCCCTCAAGAGAATGAAAAATTGTCATTTAAGACACATATGACCCAGCATACTGGCTCCCTTTGCAGCTGATGGCCTGTTTTGTTTTGTTTGAAACACCGCATTTCACTGTTCACATAGAGGGTGGAGGATCCGCCTAAACGCTCTGTGGGCATTCGGCCCCCCCCCCCCTCGTGGGAAGGGAAGCACTTGCATTGCAAGCTGAGGACTTTATGGAAATGGAATCTTTGAGTAATTCCAGTAGTTTCAATTTATTTACATGGTTGCAGGAAAACGCTAAAGAGATCGATATCTTGACGGCAAAAATTATCTTTCGCAGCCAACGTGCTCAGCGGCGCGCCTGGTTACTTGTCACTGATGGCTTCGGGTTTATCTTCACAGCACCTTACTGCCGCAGATGCTTAGTAGAACGCTCTGGCATGACGTCGAACATGCATGTTCCTGCGAAATCACATGACGTTTACGCAATCGCCAAACGGCGACTGACTAGCCAGAACCTTTGCAAACCCTCTTCAGGAGGAATCGCACGTGATCGAAACATTAGTGTGCACCTCACCACGGCTCCGGTGTTCGTTCCAGTCATCTATCTGTTCAGCTGTGCACGCGATTTGTGCGCGATAATACTGGTACCTGTGGAAGAGGCCAAAAGAAGTCTCGAACTATCAAGGGAACGCAGTTAACACCCCTTTATGAAAGGCCAAAACCGTTGCCAAACGTTTCGCGCAAGTTCAGCAGCACAGCTTCACACAGAATATTTGATTGGGTAACAAAGCATGAGAGTTGAAAATCAGTTTACTTGCAACGTGCATTCTCCTCTCCAAGTTCCTTCGCGCAGCTGAGGAACATCAGGGCGCAATACATCTAGTGTTAAATTATATAGTATTGTACAGGAGCCTTGCTCATTTCGCTACAGCCAAGATTTATAACTCCCTGCACAACTTATTGCCTTCGGACGGAGTAATCATAGTCCGAAGCTATTAAAATGCAACATGTGAGGGGAGCTGCTTTGATGACACGCATTGAAGCAGGAAGCAGGAGCCATAAATCTACGGATTGCATCGTAAGAAAGTACAGGCATTCGACTCCAGTACAGATATTTGCTGCTTACCGAGAGAACATGGCGTAGCGTAATGCGCATGCGCTTCCTTGGTTAGCTTGTAAAAGTCGAGGATCCTGCACGCATACAACTAACATTCAGCGTTGCCCTGATGGATATTCGTTAGTCCATCTTACTTAATGAAACAAGCGGAGCTGATGAAAAGTAGAGAAACACTATATCGTGCCGTAGGTGCGCGTCTTTGCTGGATACTGTCGTGTGCGATTGGACATTGGTCCTCTATCATAGAGAAGCAATCCTTCCTACTCAAAGGATAATCCGGGAACATGCAAGTTGTGAGATAGCGCCACATTACACAGCTAATCCAAGCCATTATGCAGGGAGAGCGTTCAGCTGAGAGGCTAGCAACTCTTCCACGAACCTCAGCATGTGGGTTCTGAGCTGTGAGTTCCTCAATGTTCCTCTGAAACATTTGAACCACTTCCTGTTTCGTCATTTTCGTGGAATCAGCAGAGGATTTGTGGGCATTTCGAGGCGATGTTTCGAAAGTGAAATTAATGCTGAGTGTGATGAGGTGGTGCCGTAGCAGAGCTCCACTCCCTTTGCCATGATGGGGCTGCGGGCACCAACGAATGCTTCAAATGATGCGCAACTGCTCATTGTTTGAAAAAAAATTGCCAATTCTCACTAAATGCGACAAGTGCAACATGTGCTAGATGCCCTGCAGTGCTAGCAGCTCGTCTGAACTACCATTGCTTGTTTGCTTGCCCTGAGTACATCGGTACTGGTGCTGTGACGACGCAAGAATTTGTTCTCTCAACAGCGAAATATTTATCTTGCATCTGACAATGTTTGCCCACCGTCTAAAAATGTAGTAGGCTGTGCACTACTGCAACCGATACTACCCGGTAATCTAGTTCTTATGAAGAATGGCTCCATTATTGCCTTTATGCCCTCTTTCACCTATTTTTAGGTGTATCGAACAACACATAGGTTTGTCTAGTGGGGCGCACTACACCTGGGCGCTCCTCGATCGCATTTAACTCACAATTAGTTCAAAATTGGCCCTGCGTTGTGGCTGTTCGTTTACGCACCGGCACAAACTTCCTGATGTGAACATATAAACCATAGATACCGTTTCTCGTATGGTGATCACATGGAGATTCGCAACTACAAAAATATCATTCCAAAGCTCATCCGGAAGATCTCTCATGTTTCGTTAACGGAGGTCTGCCCTCTCGGCGCCCTCACTTCAAAGGCTGCGGGAATGAGAATCGAATGAAAGATAGTATAATTCTTCGGATTTTGTCTCTGTAGGGAAACAGTAAAATCCAGACTAAACACAGAGCTAATAGACAGTTATTTAATGTGTTCCAAAAGGGAATCTCCCTTCCTGTGCCCTCACCATTGGGGGCTCTCAAAGGCGGCAGAGGGACGGCTAGGGTGCGTGTGCCCGCAACCTTTAAGCCTTCCGAGCATTCACAGCCAATTACACAAAGCGGGTATTTTACAGACATAGCATTCCTTCTTCTTTCATTGAGGCAGCACTTCTTTTGGAATAGACGACATATACAATTAGCTAAACGGAAATTGAACTCTACACATAAATGTCAGCAGTATGGTGGAAGAGTGCCAATGTGTAGCTGGGCCTGCTGCATTTTTCCCTCCCACCTTTTAATCCCACCCCCGTCCCCTTCCCCGCTAGCCGGCCGCCCGTCCATTCCTAGCGAGTGCCACTGTATGGTATATACTTCTCCGTTGAAACAAACTGCGTGCATTGCATGCATGACAGCCGAGGAGTTCCACACAATCGCTACTTTCCAGGCAACTACAAGGGTGAACACATGCAAATGAGCAGGCGAAGTAGGCACCAGCCCCCAATGAGTTCTCGAACTGACGACCGACATACACACTAGCAAACAGCGAACCAGAGATTAAAGCAGCACACCTGCTGTGGCTTGATCGCTGGCTGTTGCCGAAGCACTGAAACGCGCGAGCCTCCTGATAGGAGACAACAGAAAACAGCATAATACACGAAATCAAGATGAACACCAGCTATATGCTTATCTCAACGCTTAGCAAAACAGTCCGTGTATGCCAGTACAGCCAACGCATGTAGGAGAATCGACTTCTCACTTCTGAAAAAGGCATAAGCAAGAATGTAAAGAGTAAATGCCTGAAAGAGCCTGTGAATGACCCTACGTCGATATAAGACCTCGAGAATGATAACCGAAAGCCTTTCCAGTTATTGCTCATCAATGCACCTATTTCAGGCAGAGGATATGTGCAGGGGTAGGACGATTGCCATGCAACGCGAGTTGTACCGGCGTCTTGCGCTGCAAACCAATCACCGAGCAGATTCTCCCACAGGCAAGAAAGCTCGCGAATGCTCCTCGAACCAAGGAGGCTGGACTTCTCTAGCGCATTGCCCTAGGAAATATTGCCTACTGTATCCTAAGCGTCCAGCAGTCCGCGAATCCAGTACCTTCACGGCTTTCCATTGACATTCCACCTGCATGCAGGTCACATGCCTGCCCGGCAAAGTTTGAGAAAGAATCGACAGCTCTGGAATTTACACAGATAGCCAATACTAAAATTTTTGTGGCACCTCCAACTTTCAAAGAGTCTAATACAGAAAAAAGTTTCGATTCTTGAAAGGCAGATACTTTACTAGCTAGCAGGCCGCAAGCTTCCTTATCTGGTCAACTGACACGCTTTCTAAAGCATAAAACTTCATGAACACCAAGTCTCGATGCTAGAAGCTCACAGACAACCGCCTCAGGAAACAAAAACATGCTTCTCCCTATTGAGCTTTGCACATACATCCGCGTGGACTACCCAACTGCTCTGCGGCTGCTGACCGCCAACCACCAAATCCACGCACGGATGGAAGAGGGCTTTCTCATTGTAGACCCGGGATGCAGAAAAAGGATGAGGGGGCGGGTGCGCTGTTGTAATCTAAAGCACAGAGTACGAGGAAGAAACTCAAGCCAAGCAGCTGGAAATTTGTGAGCATACAGTCATAGCTAATGCAGAGGAGTGCGGTGGGCATGCTTTGTCGGTCTATCTGCCCCAGGTTGATTTGCAGTGGTCTTATTTATGGCCATTGATTAGGGTGGTCATAAAGGTACTCCGGAACGCATCAACAAAATTCGGCTCTAATTCTGTAATGTTTCTGGGAAATCCATAAAACTCCCAGAAATTAGTTAACAATGTAGCCACTTTATAAGCCGTGATAGCTGGAGCAAGGGATGAAATGCGCATAATTGCTGAGCTCGTTGACAGCTACGTACATCGTGGGTCATGCCCGGACTCTTGACCAGCAGTCCAACAGTAGAGTGTACACTCCAACCACTTTCAAATCATTTCACAAACCGTCAAATGCTGATTTTTCAGAAAATGCGCGGTGTCAGCTGCTGGCAAACTGGAAAGGACAGGGCATACTCCTCTGACAAGTGACGAATGCAAGCTACTAGACGAACCAAGAGAGCTTCTTCACCGTTTTGTAAATACTATCATGGCCCGGAAGAACATTGTCTTGTGCTTTGCACAAGACGGGACTGTGGGGAAAAGTTTTACTATACAAGCGATGGAGTCCCCACTCTTTTTGCAACACCGCAGGTCATCCTCACCATGGTGATGCTTAACTCTTTCGTTATTCTGGGCTTTGTCAATAGTGCTGGATACATGGGTGTCAAAAGCATAAAGCTTAGGGAATGTCAATAGGACCCGTGGATTAATAAGAATTAGAGTGGTTGCGCTGCACAATATTGAGTTGCTGGGGCGTCACCAGAACACATCCGCTGCCACGTTGATGATGCCCTTGAAATATTCCATTGTAATGGCACGTCAAGAGGAGCCCGAGCCAACGAAAAGGTCTGTCATTTGAAAGGCTCAAAACCCTTCGGAAAGTACACCAATGACTGAAAGATGTTTCGGAATGACATCCATGAATATAATGCCGGATTTTTCGACACCCACCACACCACACATAGTTCATTTTGCCCCACTCAAATCCGCTACTTGAATCGGATGCAGTGACGAGAACAGCAAGAACCCATTGATGCTTTGGAGCCTCTTTGAAATTATATAGGACCCACAGGTGCATCTCCGGCATCGGTTGTTGAAAAAACATGACGCTCTTAATTGGAAAACAACGCGATTGCCGGAGAATTTGCATGATGATCCACAAGCGTCCTTGCTACTGCATCAACCGCCTCAGTCCAGGTAAGAGACCATCTTTAAGCAGATCAGTCAATGGATCAGCAGCTCAAGCAAAGCATCCAGGAAGAAAATTGGGGCATCAAGGTGCAAGCCCATTGAATTTACTTTAGCCCTTGCAGGTGGGCAGAGATAAAGTGCAAACCTTGAGTGCGTCAATTTCTCTGGATCTGATTGAATGGCTGCGACTCAAACACGGAGCCTTAGCATACTAGTCTCATAAAAATGGAGGGTATGTGCCTTCCAATGCCACTGCTTTCCCTTTAACTGCTAAGGCACACGTAGGAGGCGCTTAAGGTGGGCTTGAACTTTTCGGCTGAACACAAAGGCACTGTCTATGAATACAGTTATCCGGCCCTTATTGATACGCTCTGAGCAATGTAACGTACTGGATGTTGCAGCTTGGCTGAAGCACTAATGAGTCTAGACAGCATACACGCAGCATTGATCCGTTGCTACCTCCAAAAACTGCGGCTCATTCCTCTGTAGGGACCCTTGCTTCTGCAAAGCTTGAGTGGGGGCCTTTCGTCTTCCTGATGTATCCTCTGTCCTCCACAAGCAGCTTCTTCCTGCTAGACCCAGTCCCTT